CTACAGATTTGCAATAAACACAGCTGTTGCTCGGTGCACAGGACATCTCCAGCAAGGCCATGAGGGTGTGTGCAGCTCAGAACCGTCCAATGACAAGGGCGTGGGGTATGGGGCAAGTCTGAGCTCCTACCTGCTGGTTTCTTTTTCTCCTGCCTTAGTTGGTCAGAGCCTGTGGGCATTTAGTCCCTGCACTTCTGGTTCACATTCCTGGTCTGTCCAGAAAGCTGCTAGAACGCTAGGGCCTTTGGGAGACCACCAGCCCAGTGTAGGCCCTGGACCAGCTTCCTCTCTGTTGGCTCCCTTCTTGCAGGCTCCTTGACCAGGGAAACAGCACTAGCCATCACCAGAATTGGGGGGGAAGCAAGACAAGGGGCTGGGACTGGGTGGGGTAGGGGAGCCAGGGCCAAAGCATTGAGCAGTAGGGACAGAATCGTGAACAAAACAGGGTTTTCTCTCCATGAGCTTAATTGGTGTCATGGAAATGTCCTGCTGGTACATCAACCTCAATCCTGATCGAGCAGGAGCCCCATAATCCCCTTCTGATCTCACTGTGTTTCCCATCTCAGCTGGTGGCATCACCACCCCTTGGTTATGCAGGCCCAGTCCTCCATCTGCCTCACAGCCCTTCCCACTCCCCAGCACACCCTCAGGTTCAATGACTATGTATTGAGAACCCCCTCAATGCCAGAAGTGGGAGGATGAGGGATGTCTTGCTCCCCACCGAATACACAGCACCTGGCTCAGGGCCTGGTGCACAGTAGGTTCGCTGTAATATCTGCTGAATGATTGCACACATCAGTGATTCAATCTTCACAATGGCCCTGTCAGTAATGTCACAGAATTGCTCCTGTGTTTCCTTGTCCCCATGCCCTTGTCATTACCTCTCACCAAGAGCATTGCAAGAACATCTGGGTGCCCTGATTCTGGTCTCTCCTCCTTCCAGACACATTTCTGAAACTTGGCTCCAATCAATGCTCCAAACTTTCCAACAGCTCCCTACTGTACACCCAATGAAATCCAAGCTGACATGGCTTTCAGGGCTCTCCAGGGCCCTGCCTCAGTCAGACCTCCTGTCCTTCACTCAATTCTCTTCCACCTGGAACCCAACAGAACCACCCCCATTTTCTCACTTGCACACTTTTGCTCCCAGGATTTCTTCTACCCTGTTCACCAGTGGAACACGCGTCCCCAAATGACCCCTTTTCTTTTCTTTTTTTCCTTTTTATAATTTTTTATTGATTTCAGAGAGGAAGGGAAAGGGAGAGAAACATCAATGATGAGAGAGAATCATTGATCGGCTGCCTCCTGCACACTGGGGAATCAAGCCTGCAACCTGGGCATGTGCCCTGACCAGGAATTGAACCCTGAACTCCTGGTTCATAGGTCGACGCTTAACCACTGAGCAACACTGGCCAGGCCCCAAAGGACCCCTCTTCGATGACTGTTAAGATTATATTGAAGGGATGTTAGACGCAGTGCCAAGAAAAAGCAGATTGAAATGTGAGCCCCGCGGGGTGCATGCTGGGAGGTGGTCTGCCCTGACTGGGAGCCTGTCTTGTGCACAGTCTCTTCTGCTGAGCAGAGATGCAGCATCTGCTCTCCACACCCCAGATCACTTCTTATCTTGCACCTGACTCCCACCTCCACTTCCCACACACCTGCACGGGTTCAGATCCTTGCATCCTTCAAGCTCGGATTCAAATCCCTCCTTTCCCTAAAGCCATTTTCTCCTCTAGGAGTCTTGTAAATCCCCACAACCCTTTCTTATGCCATTATACCCCACATTCCTTATACCAGGGGTCCTCAAACTTTTTTAAACAGGGGGCCAGTTCACTGTCCCTCAGACCATTGGAGGGGTGGACTATAGTTTTAAAAAAAAACCACTATGAACAAATTCCTATGCACACTGCACATATCTTATTTTGAAGTAAAAAAAACAAAACGGGAACAAAGACAATATTTGTATTTGCATGTGGCCCGCGGGCCGTAGTTTGAGGACCCCTGCCTTATACCATGACTTGCACCACGCCTTACTTGCACTGATAAAGTGCAAATATCCACTTCTTTGTGTTCCCCAGGGGTCCTGATAATTACATGACTGCATGGGGGGGAGGAAGAGGAAGAAGGACATTCGGTGAGTGCAGCGCCAGGGCCTCCCCCGCAGGGTAGAGGCTGCTCGTCATCCTCCACTGGAGCACATGTCAGAACAAGAAAAGGGAAGCTGCTGACTCTTGATCCACTCGGACAGGGGAAGTGGGGACGAGAGTCTAAGGATGGCTGGTGACTTGGCTGCCAAAGGTGTTCATGATAGTTCTTCAAACATCCCCTAAAGGCATACATTGCATCCTGTGTTCAGAGGCTGCAAGGACTAGCTGACGATAGCACATTTCCCCTACCCAAAAGTGTCATAGGCAGCTAGACAGACATGAGCAGAGCAAGGACAAGGGGTCAGGTACAAAAGGTCACCGGGCAGAAAGCCCGGGTGTGTAGCAACAGGCAAAACTAGGAAAACAAGGACCTCGCCCCAAGGTTACCTTTTCTTCCATAGCATATCGCTGGTCTTGCAGTGTAGACCCCCAGACTTTCCCCCCCAAAAGATAACACCTAGGCCTCAGTAGTATTTAAGCTCCAGGCCCAGAAAAGCAGCAAAACCAGACAAGTGACATGGTGGCCTCCTCTCGACCAGCTGCAATGACTAATGACACCCTGTCCTGTTGCCAACCAATCAGCAGAGACCATGACATTGAAAGAGCACACCAGGAAAGATGATGCATATTCTATGGAAACCCTTCCCTGAAACCTCCCCTAAGATTCCCACCTGCAAGAGAGAGATAAGTCCCCGAAACACAAAGGGCCTAGCTTGTGCTCTCCCCCAGGGGAGCACGCCTGCACCATTTCCTTCCCCCCTTCTTTACTGTAAGGGACCCCACGAGACTTGCAACCAGGGGCGCAATGGGCGGCAGCAGCTCGTCCAGGTCCAGCCCCATGAACCTGTCTCTAAGGCCTCCTTTGCTCTGACTTCTCTGAGTCAAAGCAGCCCAACCTGGGCTCTCCTGTTGCTTCTTCTATGCCCTTCCTTGTTTCCCTGTCCTACGTGTGTTTTTGCTGCAAATTCTTGCTTGCTTTGCTGCCTCTGTCTCTTGACTGAAATTTTTTTCCTTCAAGAAAACAAGAACTGAAGTCTCTCTCTCTCTCTCTCTCTCTCTCTCTCTCACACACACACACACACACACACACACACACACACACACACACAAATGATGTTTAAAACCTGGTCTCAGAAAAGTCGAAGAATGTTGTTCAGGGATCCTAAAGGGCAACAATTTAAGAACAGTTCGGCAGGCATGAATCAGGGGTTGTCTGCAGGGTGGACCAATGCACCCTTTTCCAAGTAAGCAACAAAGAATATTTTGGGGAAACATGCTCTGGAGTTTTACCAACTTCAGTGGAATATTATTAAATATTAAAGTCCAATATTACACTTCATGGAAAGGCATGTTTGCTAATTAGAACAAGAAAATGACCTTGAACTTGAGCTTTTGCTCCATCAAAAACTCCATACCAAGGCCTGTCCTGGCACTGTGGCTGAGTGTGGGGTTTAAGTTATTACCTCTGCCCTTGAGGAATGTGTAGTCTAGTTGACAAGACAAACATAGACTGTAGCAATGCAGCAACATCAGAGACTTGTATTGAACACAAGGAAAAACATTTTGACAGTTAAGATTATTAAACAAAGGAATGGGCCACCAAGGAGGAAAAATCCCATCTCAGAAGAAATGGGGGGTGGAAGGGTACATCAACTGTATTGAGCTCTAGGGGGACCCCTTGAGATCTAGTGACCCACTTAATTTGGGCATGTCTAAACTCACTTTATCCCCCTTTTATCTAAGGAATTGAGTGGAAGAATAAAATGGATTCACTATAGTTAAGCTCCTCAATTACTAAAACCAAGTAGGTTGAGGCAGGAGGCAACCATTCCATTTTGTTTTAACAACCTGGGAACTTAAACTTTCTAGTCCTTTGTCAATGCCTGGAGATACATAAAACCTCCGGAGAACCCTCTGATTCCCCCCTGGAGGACTAAGGAAAGAATGTTCACGCACCCAGACCACCTGACATCCATTCTCCAGACCACTGGTCTTCTAGAAGATTGTCCTCTCAGACCGATCAGAGGCTGAGGCCGCAGGACTGATTCTTCTCCGGAATGTGCTCTGTCCTATAAGAACTCTTAGCTTTCCTTTCTTCTTTGGAACACGCTGCGTATTGCCTAGTTGTGTTTCCAGTTTGCAAACCCCAAGACCCTTGAATAAATCTTTGTCATTTATCTCTAACCAAAGCCTCCAGACCCTTTTTGAGTTTGTTTGACGTGTCTGCCAACCGTAGTTACCCAAAGCATGGTTCCAGGCAGCTCACAGAGATACCAACATTCATCTCACACTAACAGCATTTTCAATTGCTGTAGTCTCCTTGCTACTTCAGGTTGGGCCACATATCCTCATCTGAGAAGCCCAGGAAGATGTCAGGACTTGCCTTGCCTCCCATATGTCTGGGGTGTGTGTGTGTGTGTGTGTGTGTGTGTGTGTGTGTGTGTGTGTTGTGGTGAGATGGCATGAGGTGGTGTGTATACTGGGCAAAGCATCAGGACCTCTCCTGACCAGGCAAGTGGAGGGACCAAACCTATTACACACGTGAGCCTAATACTTCAACAAACAAAAGGGCCCCATTTGCTGGGTGGCTTCCAGCAACAGAAGCAGAAGTTCCGAAAGCCAGCCAGGGGCCTTTCTTCTGGTGCCCACAAAGGCATGTTACCTTCCAGGTCCTCCCACCCACAAACTTTCACCCTCAAGCCTTCCATTTCTCATCCCCCCACCC